ATTTTTCAATGTGGTGAAAGTGATCTACTTGAATCTGTTTAGCGTGATAGGACTACAATACACTACTTGTCATTTACTGATTCAAACTTGGTTTACTTCAAGGGAATTCCCATAATATTGAGCTTAATGCTGGATGATTGATAACTCCATTGATAATGTATGAGAAAGATGATGAGGCTGAAGGTCCATTGGCAACCTTATGTTGAACCAAAGATCACCAACAAAGCTTTGGATTTTATCAAATGTAATCATGTTTTTTTATTAATAGGTAAAATAGCCTTCACTAGTACCGTACTACCTATGTATCAGATATGATATCTTTCTGGAAAGCTTTCTCCCAAATCCTAACTTCAGTGCTATGCTTTTCAGTTCCAGATCTACCTACTGATTTGTAAGCCCAAGATCTTGAAAATTCAAACTTACTTACTGAAGAGCATACCTGTCTATTCTCCACTCCGCAAATACTGAATTTCGTTTCAATAGACATGGTTAAAAAGTTCAGTCTATGAGGAATAAACGAAAACACAAACACTGAAGAATTGTACAGCTAAAAACGCAAATATCCGAATTTGAATCACAATCAATCACATACGCGCTAAAACCGATTTGAAAATTTGAAATTCGTAGCCATATTGGTTTAACAAGTTTCGTATTATTTTTTTCCTACCTCGGCATCAACGCCTGGGGCCCGATTCTCGAATCCATTGGAATTCGTTTCCATGGGAAAAACTCGATATTTCCCATGGAAATTTGAGATGATGTATTCTTGAACTATTGTATGGGAAACTATTCCTACACATTTCAAGAGAACTGCTTCTCATGGTATTATCCACGGGAACAACATGTTTCCCATAGGATACACTCATGAAATATGACGTCACTGAAAAACATATTCATTACAAAACATGGCAAACATAAATGAAATAGCTCATCTAGAGGCTTTACAAAATTTGGAAGTGGCTGAAATCCTTGCTAGAAGACCAATAAGAAGGTTCTTTCCTAAAAGGGACTCATTTGAGTGTTTGTCTGATGAGCAATTTATTAAAGTTTTCCGTTTGTCCAAAGACATTACCATAGAATTGATAGTATGGTGGATCCATTTCTTGAACAGTCTTCAAGGAATTCTGCACTGGATAAGAATACAAAGGTATAAATTATGATAAATAGATTTTCAATGTACCAAATAAGCAATATTGAATCTATTTTCCAGGTACTGGTTGCTCTGAGTTTCTATGCCAGTGGAAGTTATCAGACATTGGTTGTTCACAATTCATAATTATGTTGGCATTAGTCAATCCTCTGTAAGTAGGGGTATCAGAGAAGTTACTAACGCCCTAAATGAACGGCCAATTTTCAATCAATGAGTCCGATTTCCAAGAACTCTCCCAGAACTGCAGAGTTTTCGACAAGAGTAAGTACCTACCTAATGTGGCCTAACAATCATCTAGTGGTATACCAGTCTATACCTATATTTACATTGCCGAAATTTTTCATTCTGATTTATTTCTAGATTCTATCATTCATTTGGATTCCCAGTCATTATAGGATGCATTAAGTGTACCCATGTGGCAATTTACCCCCCACCAAGAAATGATGCATTGTACCCTGATATACAGTGTGTCCACCTTAAGGACTTACCACCCCTGTAGAATTGTTATTACATGACCGATTCCAAAAAACTTTTTTTTGTTGGATAGGTATTTGAAATGTCCATCCAACAAGAGAGTGATTTTACTCATGAACTGTAATCATGGCCAACTGCGACCAGCTTTATTGACCCATATTTGAGAAAGTACTATTATGGATTTTTTTTCACGAAAAACAATGATGGATTCTGAATCACGATCACTTGAAGAACACCTTTACTGATTTTTATGATCATAAAACACAGGGTGTCCGAAAAAACGACTTATGTTTTTTTTTAATAGGTGATCAGAAAATGTAGTATTGTGGTATTTTTGAGAAGAATTGATGACACATTATTATTGAGGATCACTTTGAACATATCTGTACCGATTTTCATCATTCAAAAATACGATGTGCATGAGAAAACAATGAAAAAGAAGGCAATATTTTTTCATCAACTCAAAAAAAAAATATTAATTTGATTTTTCGAACACCCTGTGTTTAATGATGATGAAAATCGGTACAGGTATGTTCCAAGTGATCCTGATTCATATTTTCATTTTGAGTGAAGAATTATCAGGATGAAAAATATTGCTTACCTATCCTTTTTAACTTTTTTCTCAGACACATATTGTATATTCAAATGACGAAAATTGGTACAGGTATATTTGAAATAGTCCTCAATGATAATTTGTGATTATTTCTTTCTAGAAAACCCACAGAACTACATTTGCTGATCACCTATTTGAAGAAAATGATGATTCGGTTTTTCGGACACCCTGTGTTTTATGATGATGAAAATCGGTACAGGTATATTTCAAGTGGTACTGATTCAGAATCCATCATCAAGTTTCGCGGAAAAAAATCCCTAATAGTACTTTCTGGAATATGGGTCATTGAAATTTGTCGCAGTTGGCCACGATAACAGTCCAAGAATTAGATCACTCTCTCATTGGATGGGCATTTCAAATACATATCCAACAAAAAAAGGTTTTTTGAAATTGGTCGGATAATAACAATTTTACAGGGATGGTAAGTCCTTAAGGTGGACACACTGTATATATGTGAACATAAAAAACTATCATTCCATTAATGTTCAGTTAGTATGTACCTATATATTATCCTGTTTATGATATCCTTCAATATTGTGTCATTCTTATTTCCAGATTTGTGATGCCCATATGAAAATAATTAATGTTAATGCCAAATACCCAGGAAGTACTCATGACTGTCACATTTGGAAAAGCTCCCGTGTGCAGGATGCCCTCATTCATTTGAGTAATGCTCATTCTGATTTCTTCCTCATAGGTAGTGATTTTATAAATTTGATATGAAATCAGTTTTCTTGTGAATCTCAATTATTATTCATTAATTTCTTACAGGTGACTCTGAATATCCCCTAAGGCCTTGGTTATTGACACTACTTCAAGATCCTGTTCCAGATACACCAGAATTTAAATTCAACAAGGCTTTCAGAAAGGCCAGATGCACTATCGAAAGATGCAATGGCCTATTGAAGATGAGATTCAGATGCTTGTTAAAACACAGAGTTCTGCATTATGCACCAAATGTATGTGCAAAAATAATAAACGCTTGTGTAGTTTCACATAATATTTGTCTGGAAAATAATATTCCAAATTTGGATCATATTGACAATGAAATTGAAGATTCAGGTATATATGAACCACTGCAACAGGTTCATAATGGTGTAAATAACAGACAGAATAATGCTGAACTTATAAGAGGTAGGAATATACAAAAAAATATTATTAGAAATTACTTTACCTGAATGTGTCACAGTATATAACAATTGAAATAAATCCAAATAGGTATTTAGAAATGCTTTTTTTCTGCAACCGACACAAAAGTCGTCCATTTTGATACCAAAATTAGCTCTTAAATTGACGTTTCTATTACTGACACAAAAATAGGTATGTTGCTAGGCAACATATTTAGTTCCTGGGAGCTAAAGTTGAATTTTAGTTCCTAGGAGCTAAAGTTGAATTTTAGCTCCTAGGAACTAAAAAGGATCTACAGGATGTCATCAAGAATAAACAACATTGTGACGGTTGGTTATTTGGGTTGAGACGCATACCTGATTTGTTTCCGATTTCAGCAGATTTGGCATTTCATACCCATGCTGGAGATATAAATACACCTTATTATAGTTTAGTATTGGAATTATAAACATCTCAGTCAAGTATTTTTGTTTTGATCAGGGAAGCCTTCAAGATTCAAATTCTTGCTTGATCTGTATTTCATTCGTTATTCTCGGGATGGATAACTTGTTTTTGAATAATCACGGCAAGCAATAGTTTTTTCGTCTCAAACAACGATATTGTTTAGCTTCATTTGATTATCAAGTCAAACACAGTGTAGTATGCCAGTATGGAGAGGAATAAATAATCACTATTATTATTGTTGAAATGCTCACTAACCTAACATTTTTCTCGTCTTGTTCCTATACCTGGCACTGGTGCGGTATTTGCCATCAGAGCACCTGGTCCATACACAAATATGTCACTCTGTGGTTGTATTTATATTGAAACTACAATTCGAACATGCTAGAAAACCTAATAACCTGCTGTTAATGCAGGTAGAATATTCTCACCACACGCCACGGATTATTTGTCAATATTTGTTGCATTGCATACATATGGCACGGCATTGGTGGTTACTTCACATGTTTATTTGAGTTAATTGTTTCGGTTGCAGAAAAAATAGCATGTTTCATTCGGATCAAAAGTGACTTTGTTCGACTCGCAAATTTTGCTTTCGCTCGGCTTCGCTGAACGCTCCGCCTCGCAAATGCAAAATTCGCTTGTCAAACAAAGTGTCACTTTTGATCCTAATAAAACAATCTACTATTATTCGATATTTTTCATGAAATGAATACTGAAACCTAGATCAAAAATACTGAGTACAGGTACTTCAAAAAATAAATATAAAAAAGTAACTAAACAACAACTCTGAAAAAAATATAACAAAGAGTAACTACTTCGTTGCTATTTAGAGCAAAATATTCAGTACAGGTACTTCAAAAAATGAATAATTATAAGAAAATAACATCAACTCTGAAGAATACAACAAAGGATACCTACTTGATAGGTACCTGAAACAAAATAATATCACAGAATGTCTGTAAAGCTGTAAAGAATAAACAAGTAGGTGTGCAGTAAAAAAAAAACTAAATCACAGTGAGAATAACATAGTAATCAAATAATTTTAGGAATGTTGCAAGGCCTCTGCAACCTTTTCTAATGCTGCTGCGATTATATTTCCTATGATCACATTCTGCCTAAAGGATTTCTATTTTCTGTTCATAATATTGTTTTTTTATTTGGACTTTTTTTGCAGCAATACTGCTCAATTTGTCACAGGCATTTTGAGAATTTTCTAATCTCTGGGTTGCCATTGTCCTTTTTCTCTTCATTCCTTTTTTTTTGTTTGTTCTCTTCTTTTTTATTTTCTTCAACAGTGATGCTTTCTTGGTTCTCTTTCTCAGAATTTTCAATTATTATTGAATCATCATTCTCACAATATGAAGAAGATATATCCTCTAATTGTTCTTCCACATCAGCATAATTGTGTTCATTCTCGAACTGGAAAAAAATGGAAATATCAAAGCTTGAACCTTGAAAGCATTTAATTCGATCATGTAGATATAATGATTGAAGTCAAACTCACAAAAACCACTTCAGACTCTGCAACTCCATGATCTGCAAGAGGTTTTCATCTTCTTCTGTGAAGATAACGTCTGTGGGTGGCCCCCCTCCTGTCCTCCTTACGTGTTTTTTAACGTCTGCGTTTTTTTTCTTCACGCTTCTCTTCGTGTCCTGCCAAGTTTATAGAATGCAAAAATCAAGAATTCAGTTAGTTTCAAGTAGGTATATATAGCATGTTTATAGGTACAAGCCTTGTATTTTTTTACTCACCCTCCACCAATGGGTCCAATTTTTTTTTGCACCAGGGATTGCATTCAATCTCTCTTCAATATTTCTTCATTGTAGCTGGGAATATATACAGGGTGGGCCAACAGTAACGCCTCGGTCTCTAGTGGGGTAACCACACATCTCCAAGAATTTGTTTTTCCTAGGAAGTTGTATGCCAACAAGGGCAACTTTCTGAAAATATTTCGAAATGTACAGGGTGTATCAAAAAAGCGCAATATACCAAAGTTATACTTTTTGTAATGGAACACCCTGTTTTTTTTTGGGATTTTTCGATTCCTCATCGAAAATGAGACCCACTTCTTTGGAAGTTCCCTATACCTATGATTCACTGTTCCCGAGATATTTTATTTTGTTTGAAAATTTTTGGTTCTAGTAAAATTTGTATGTCAGCTGGTCCAATTAATTTTGACGACAAAGATTTTAACTAGTCATCAAGAATTGTCAGAGTTATTTGTTTTGAATTTTCTGTCTCCTTCATATTGTACAGGGTGCTTTAAAGTTAGCTTGAACTTCTACTATCTTCAAACATCAATAACTCCGTTATTTCAAATAAAACGCCCTGTATATTTCAATGTGAGAAGATGGGTAATTTGAATGTCTCTCGAACAGTGTATTCATTCCCTAAACCTATCTCTGATAGTGTGGAAGGAATCAACGTATTTTTGAGTGAAGAAAATGCGTTAATATTTTAATCTCAATTATTGTTAACTTGCTCAAAACGATCAGCGAATATGAATGTTGAAAAATGCTCGGAAAATGGATATAATCATGATGGTGAATATTTTCATCGAATTCTCGGAATCATTCAACCGCCAATCACGATAATAGTTGTTCGATATGATGTCCATCTTCTTTAGAGACCGAGGCGTTACTGGTGGTCCACCCTGTATATGTAAATTGGAGGTCAAATTTCCCTTTCCTCAAATCCTCAGAGGCCTCCATTATCTCGATTGAAAGTCGTTTTTATTTCCTGCTGATACTAACACCTCGTGGTTTTTTAATTTTGTTTGTATCCATTTCAAATAGAGGAAATATAGTAAATATAACAACACAATAATCTCACCCTCCCAAACGTATATTATATTATAACCTCAAAATCACAATGTTAACATTTCAATCATCCACCAGTTACCAACACAAATTGCACTTATTTCATTGGTGTATTCATGTGAGCTCAAGAATCTATCTGCGACACACGGTACTTTTTCAATCCCCTGGAAAAAAATATTCAATTTGGTTCAAGAATAGGTGTCGTGACTTTTCTTTTCCTATGAGAACTGAAATATCATTCTCCTATAGGATCGAATTCCTACAGATTCGAGAATCGGGCTCCTGTTGGTCGATCCCGTTACCCATAGAGACAGAAGTTGGTCCCGCTTTGAGGACAGCTATGCTTCATATATAGAGTAGTAGATATATGTTCCTACCTAAGAAAAATATGGAATAATTCCAAATGTTCAAGGCGAGATAGATATTTCAACAACTTCCAATTATATAATTCATATAGAACCTATACATTCAACTGATAACCTGAATAGTTCAGAGGAAATGAAGGAGTGTTGGTTCTTCCAACATTTTAAAATTTCAAAGTGAGTTCAAAAATTACAGTTATTGAATAATTTAGTCATTATAGGAAAAAGATCCTGGAAGTTGGTAGTGAGAAAATAATATTCCATCCTCAAGAAATACTCAATTCCAATCAACTACTGCAAGGAAGCAAAAGTAATTATCTGCTGTGTATTTTGTGTAGTGACAAAACAATGATATATCGAACTTTTTTTCATTTCCTCAATGAATACACCTAACCCTATAAACAAGAGGACATGTCGCATTGTTTTTCAAATTTTCAAAATTCATATGTCAAAATACACTAAAAATTTCCTGGCACCACTTGAATTGAAACTTGACAAGGTCGGTGAAAATTTGCTCAACTCAATAAAACAAGTTTCCTCATTATACAGGCTGATTTTGAAATAAGTGCATATATTTTAAACACTAAGAAAGCTTGAGGTATACTACCGAATAGCATTATTAAAAATATTATTACGATCAAAATAGATTTGGGGCAAAATACCCTTTTTCCGCCCAGATTTCTGCTTCTGTCACAACTATCGTTTGCGATCCGCAGTCGACCGTGATGAACGAAGCGACGTTGCCACTCTACATGAAAATTAGGAGATATTAAATAAAATGTATAATCCAGAAAATGTACACGGGGAAGAAGTTAACCCTGGTCTTGAATTTCAGAAAGATAATACAAAAACTTTGAGATGGACTCACCCAAGATTTCTACACATAAGCTCGAATAGCGTATAACTTAACACCTCACGGTTGGAAGTTCTCTTACTGAAAAATCCTTTAGACCCTTCCTTCCACCTCTTTGGGCCCCGCACAATAACGACCCGACATAAGAACCATATCATTCAGCTCAATGTTTGAGAAATGCATCGTCACATTCCAAGCAAATTGTCAGAATCATTTACTAGTATCACGTTTTGACGTTTTCCAAAATAACATACATTCTCAGAACAACAAACTGTCAAGAAAGGATCTTTGTTTTGATTGTTCTTATGGTGTGCTACCAGCAAGAATTCAGATGACCATGAATTACTAATAGGCGACTTTTACGGACCAATCAGAAACAGCAAAGTAGTGCCTGCGTGGTTGCGATTCATCCTGATTGGGCACAGGTGATTGAAATTAATGTATTAGTGAGGAAGGATCATATCTTTAAATGAAACTAACATTTTCATAAAAAACTAATTTGGAAAAAACATCTATTAGTTTAATTCAATGAAATGATACTTCCTCACTGTACACTAATCTCACAAATCCAATCAGCTGTGTCCAATCAGGATGAATCGCAACCACGCAGGCGCTACTTTGCTGTTTCTGATTGGTCCGTAGAAATCGCCTATTAGTAATTCATGGTCATCTGAATTCTTTAGTCCGAAACTGTCAGAAGCATGCGCAGTTTCACAGAACCGTATGATTTTTTTGGGTTCTGTGGACTTGTGTATGCTTCTGACGGTTTTGGATTGTTTATTTTCTGAACGCGAACAATCCTAGTTAGAACTGTCAAAGGTCACAGCAAAGAGAAAATCTATGGTCACAGATACTACTGTTCTGAGAAATGATGTTGACAGATCATATGATACTAGTTTTGTTTGTGACGTTTGTGTGGTTGCTGGTTTGTAAAATAATTCTAAACGTAAAATAAAAAATAAAATAATTGGATGTTGTGTCTTGTGTCGTGATAATCGTGATATGGTCGTGGTCATGATTTTCAATGTGAGATTGCCAGGAAGGATATGTTGTCGTCGAGTCGTTTTCGATGGTTTAAGTGCGAATATGAACCAACAAGAACACAGGACGATATTAGTCTGGAATGGACTCGATATTAGTATTTGTTTGCTCTCGGGAGTTTTGCTGTTCGAGCAGGTATGAGAAAATCTACTAGGTGAGCCGATTTTCAACTTGGTGGAAGGAAGGGAGACGTTCTATCATTCCCCTCATGTTTATCTCCGTCTCTCGTGATCCATGGAGATAATCACCCAACAGTTCTCTCAGTGAACTTTAAAAAATAAGGCTCTTGTACATATTACATTCACCTCTATTAGTTTCCATAACCTATTTCAATTCATGTTCATTCTGTGACAAATTTTTATCAGGATATTCGTCTCTGAAACAATCTGGCATCACTGTCTTGTTTTGACTTTAGTGAATGACGAATTGTGGATTCCCTAGGATTCCGCAGATTTCACTTGCTTCCCAGTGGCGTACTCGAATTTCGAAGCATTTTATGTTCAATTTTCAAAATGAAATTTCTCGTTAATGTGAAGACTTAGGAAAAATCAAATATCTTAGTAATTTTTGTTAGACTCTCTCATATATATGTCTTGAATATATGCACTCATTTTAAAATCAGCCTGTATAAGCATGATGGTACAAGGAAATATTACTCTCTTTGCAATATGGTTCAGAATCACCCTGTATAGATGTGTTGCATGTGAAAAAAAAAACACTTCTCCCAACAACCTGTACATTCACAATAAACGGCATCTGATGAACCTCAACAGTTAGCAGTCCTTGTCAACTCTTCGGAATAATTGATATATCTTTCCCATTTGAAACATTCTTGATGATACAAATCATGAAGCAAAATCGAACCAGACATAGACTTGACACTGATAATGGGTGTGAATCTTATTGAACTTCATGTAAATGAGTAGTGATAGTTTAAGAGAATATGTACGCTCAGCACAGAGCGAAACATATATAGGAGACATCTTGAATACTAACAAAATATAGGAAAGGTTGTAGCTGGCCTGATAACCTGTCAACCTGCTCCTCCGGAACTACTGATTCATAGCAGCAGAACAGCTAGTGTACTCCGGCTATGAATCGGTTGACCTAGGAACTAATAACACCTGGAACTCTGGCCCAGGATTATGTATGGGTTTGAAGGGTTGGCATGGGATAACTGAGGTTAACCCTGGACTAATCCTAGATTTCTATCAAACTTGTTCTCTGGGATACATCCCGAGACACTGATTAATAAAAAGATTAAATTTTCCACTTCGAACCCTGAAAAAAAACCATGTACTTTCGGACTAAGAACATTAAACCTCGCTTCTTGGCGTAACTTACCACACTCGAAGGGTTAATAAAAGGAATTCCACCATCCTTCATTGGAATAGTATCAGACCAATCAAGTCTGGAACATTTCTGATCATCCAACTTGAAAAACATTTCTGGATGTAATGAATGTATTCATTGAGCAACCAAAAAAGTACTTACGGATATCGACGTACGGTCCGACACGAGGTGATAGGTATGCATCCAGGGGCGGCGAGTTTTGTTTTGCCCAATGAGTGCCAAAATGGAGGGGTTAGGGCAAGCCAACAAAAAATGCGCCGCAGGCGAAAATTTTTTATGGCACAAGGTCAAATGCCTTCAAATTTGAAGATAGCTTGATGCAATATTGATTCTGCATTACGTGTGTAACACCCCTACTAGAATATAATGTTTTTTGACTAATCGGGTTTCGGGTCTGTTGTTAATATCAACATAAACAAAGGTGAGAAATGAGGGAATAATTTTTTTTCAAATTTTATTGTAAAACATAAACAACTCAAAAGTTAACACATTATGTGAAAACATAAAAACATGACTACAAAAATAAAATAAGATTTAAATCAGGTACCAATTCAGTATTACGAAAATAAAATAAAGGAACTTTGGATTTGAAAAAATAAGCAAGTAACAGCAGTTAATTCATTGCAAAGGTATTCCTACGAACTGTGATATTTCCAATGAATTCATTAGCAACTGTATTTATGTCTAATTCATTCATTCGTTCTCTATAACAATGCAATATTGCCACATTGTTGAGTCGTTTTTGTGTCACTGTACTACGCAAGTAAGTTTTCAGTCTGCGTAGTGCTGAAAATGATCTTTCGGAAGAACAAGATGTGACGGGAATAGTGGCGATCAGCTTCAAATATTTATAAAATTCTGGAAGCATGTTTCTTAGATGTAAGAATTTATCGGATATGGCGACTTCACAAATCTCATTGAGATTAGTTATTCGTACATTATTTTCTTTCATTACATCAAGAAACATGTTCCTATGTAAAACTAATCGGTCAATTATGAAATCTGCTTTATACATTTCCACAACTTTCTGATTTTCCCCGCCTAAAGCGAATGACTCCATTTCAGCCAAATGATTATTTATCTCCTTATTGAATCGTCTCTCAATACCGATAATAACCGAATCCAATATTTCGAAATGAATTTTCCTGTAGTAGATCTGCGTGTTGTCGAACTGGTGTGGTTCGCTACCGCTGTCATATTTTCTAGGAGCTTTTCTTTGTCGAGTTAACTTGGCTTCATCTAGATTCAACTTTCTTGCGTCAGCCTCAACTTCTCTCCACAGTTGATCATATTCACTATCATTCCTGATATTCTTCAAATGTGATAACATCACATCAATATTGGCTTGGGCATCATGGAAGTTTAGCTTAGAATTTTGCAGAGCAGCGTTCAATATTTCTATTTTTTCCAAGATCATAATAAGTGTTCTCAACAGGAAGCATGATTCAAATTCATAAAACTTTTTCAAGTGACCAGAAGCACTAGCACCTATCTCATTCTTCGAATCCAAACTAAGCTCTTGGAGAAATTGTAATAATACTTCGTAGTTTTCTATAATGGTTTTGAGAGATTTTATACGAACGCACCATCTGGTTGGACGAAAAGGCTTGAGTTTTTTCAAATTTTCTTTTGGGTGCTCATTTTCAGTTATTACCGCATCTCTTTGAAGCCGTTCGAACCAAGCTAAACGCTTAGGTGATTTTGTTACTAATATAATCAGTTCTCTCATTGTTACTAGAAAATCTCTGACTTGTGGAGTGACTCGCATGGCATCTTGAGCAACTAAGTTCAAATTGTGTGCCAAACAGTGCACATAAATGGCCCTCGGCTCAACATTTCTGATTTTCTGTTGGAGTCCGTTGATGTGTCCACTAACATTGCTTGCGCCATCATAGCATTGTCCTCTACAATTGTGAATATCTATATTGAACCGAGTCAAACAGTCTTTAACAATACCAAAAAGAGATTCGGCTGTTGTAGACGCCGTTTGATAAAATCCAAGAAAATATTCTTTAACCTCTAGGTTTTCTGTGGAAGTTCTCAAACAGAACGAAACTTGTTTCTGATTGGTGCAGTCAGTTGTCTCATCCAGTATTACCGAGAAAAAAACGTCATTTCTAATTTCTTTCAAAATGCCACTCGTAACCTGTGATGTCATAATGTCTAAAATTTCATTAGCAATATCTTTAGACAGCCACTTGAATTTTTCTTTACTGTTATAGTCTAAGATCCGAACCTACATCGACCTTCACCGAGCTGATAATAGAACGAAATATATTTTATCATGAATTTAGTATATTAGAAAACATATTAAAAATGGGTTGGCTAAAAAAATCCTGGGCAGACTATTTTTCGAAAAATTATTTTCAATTAAATGTTGCAACATCAGGATAATAAAAAAATTGTGTCCTGACTGAAAGTATAAAACGTATAGAATGTGCAGCCGTTGGGTTGTCTACTATTTACCTGGGCGAACTACTGGGTTGTCAGGTAAACACAGGTATATCGATGCCAGTTACTTTCACTGGATTGGACAATTTAAAAAAATGTATATCATCATAAGCGCTGTTTAATTGCGAACACGTTGATATAGGGTTGTCTGCGAAAATTCCGGTCCTATTAGGGGTTTGCGAATTTTAAAGATTTTAATTTCAACGCGCGTGGAAGTGTGTGACAGAGAGATCCGAGGTAAGTATACTGTGTAATAATAAAGGACCCAACATCGCAGTCGCTTGTGATGGGACCCTGAATAGTAGAAAGTGTGCGAAGTGTGCGAAGTCAAATCCTGAAAACTATGGTTGGCATTTTGATGATTTCTTAAAACCAACAGGTTTTATCGGAGATCAAACTCCTTTGAAAATCCAGGACATTGTCGAAATGGAAGCAAATGAGGAAGAATCTAATGAATCAGACGAATTCGAGAGTCAAAATGATACTTCTGATGAATCAGATTTTGAATAGAAAATATTTATTAGAATTTATTTTCCATTAATATTATTTTTGTATTTATACTGTTTTTTAATAAAATTTTAAATCGTAATACAAGATGTCTAGTCTATCTTTTTTGTTATTGCTTAATTTAAATTTTTGGCGGTCCACTTTGTTTCTATTTCCAGAAAGAGCAAAAAAATTTCAAAGTAAGTATTTGATATTTTTATTGTCTATTATAGATATATCATTATGGGTATAACGCAATATATTGATATTATATTGTTTTTATATATCAGTATTATATTAAATATATTTAATTATTATGTAATTAATTAATTTTTTTTTGCTGCTGAAATATCAGTTGCTCCGAAATAACACGCACTGTTTACTATATGAAGGGTAGTAGAGGTACCTCTACCCTCCATAGTTTACACACCGAGCATGCGCACTTTCTACTATTCAGGGTCCCATCACAAGCGACTGCGATGTTGGGTCCTTTATTATTACACAGTATACTTACCTCGGATCTCTCTGTCACACACTTCCACGCGCGTTGAAATTAAAATCTTTAAAATTCGCAAACCCCTAATAGGACCGGAATTTTCGCAGACAACCCTATATCAACGTGTTCGCAATTAAACAGCGCTTATGATGATATACATTTTTTTAAATTATCCAATCCAGTGAAAGTAACTGGCATCGATATACCTGTGTTTACCTGACAACCCAGTAGTTCGCCCAGGTAAATAGTAGACAACCCGACGGCTGCACATTCTATACGTTTTATACTTTCAGTCAGGACACAATTTTTTTATTATCCTGATGTTGCAACATTTAATTGAAAATAATTTTTCGAAAAATAATTAAAAATAGTCTGCCCAGGATTTTTTTAGCCAACCCATTTTTAATATGTTTTCTAATATACTAAATTCATGATAAAATATATTTCGTTCTATTATCAGCTCGGTGAAGGTCGATTTAGGTTCGGATCTTCTACTATTAAGCCATTTTTTCAGAATAGGTGAATCGTTAGATCGGGTTTGCAAAAGCATATAATAATTTGATACATCCTCTGTATGTCCGCGAACCGCCAATCCTTGTCCTGCTAAATATTGAAGTGATGATATAAAACAGAGCAGTACTTCACGTGCATCTATCATTTCTCTTTTTTTCTTCTCACACAGGGAAGTCATAACGTTGGTGCTTTTCTTCACTTCGTGAAGTAACCGTATTGAATTTTTATGTACGATAGACCGTTCATGTACCGCAAACCGTTCTAATGCTTTGGACCAATTATCGAATCCATTCTTGCAAAATGCATCGAATCCCATCCTCTCGATATGTGTGAGTGATTCAGAAGGATTTTTAATATCTGATGCATTCTGACAAATCTTACCGAATACCTTTTTTTCAGTCTGATTATACAGGATCCAATCATATTTTTCGCTCCAGGATGGAACATATCTCCGTTTCCTACTGCTAAACGTTTTCTGAATTCCTAAAACATATTTCCATGTTTATTCTAATCAAAAATTTTATTTTCACCATGTCATACCTGAGCCAGTAGTACTACTACTCGCTCTGACATCAGATTGTGCTTGTGCATCATCATCTTTTGGAGAATCAATTCTTTTTACAAATTTGTCCATTTTTCACATGTAACAACACAGGTTATTCAGTATTAAATCGCTTTGCAAAGCACATTCAGTCGTTTGCGAGCCCTGGCGGTACACTGCACAGTGCACACTTGCACACTAAAAATAGATACCTACTAATTCCCACCAGTCCCACTGATCATCACTGATTGAGCGAGCAATCATCCTGATTCACTATGTTTACTATGACTTTTTTATTCCCTATGAAGCTAGGTTGCTTCATGTAGGAACATTTACGCAGAGGGCTGTACGTGCTGATATTGATTTCCAAATTATAATAATAAAAACATCAGCTAATAATCGGAAGTATTAAAAAAACACATCAACTCATCAGAATCGCGCTCCTCAAATTCAGTTGTTTGATTCAATAATATGTCCTTGAATGTGTCAACTACGGCCTTCAAATCCAGCGATAAATCCTTGATGTGATTGATTCAATAGGGATATTATGGTCACCTTATTTTCAATAAAAAACGTATTGTAATCCAATACATCAGTTTTGCATTTCATTCGATAGCTTACAATGAGGCATTTGAATGCATTTTCAGTCACATATACTCCATCTCTATAATTGACGCAAGCGTTTGTCCGATGTTCCAATGTCCTTTTATGAGCAGTCATTTCATCAGCTGAAATGATCTTATTGCAAACATTACATGTCTACAGATTATCAAATTTCCCACACATGCAATCCTATGATGGCGCCGTAGATTGTCCCTACGTGTGGAAGGTTCAGCGCACACACTGCAAACCAACACTTCTTCCAAAACGACCTCGACCAGCTTTCTCCTATTTCCAAGGTCGTACACGCTGCCACCTCTCTTCAAGGTCAAGGTCTTTCTATAACTCAAGGTCACTCACTCCCAAGGCCACACGTGCGGAGATTACTCGTACAGCCTCCCTTCAAGGTCACTCTCAGCCTAGCCCCCCAAGATAACTTTCGTTCAAGGTCGCACTGTCGAAACTCCGCTATACGATTACATTCCGCCCGAGGTCACTACACCCAATGTCACTCCCGCCCAAAGTCACTCCTGCCCAAGGTTACTCCGCTCAAGGTCAGAGGAGAGTGACCTCGGGCGGAGAGCCACAGCCGGCAAATTTTATCTTCTCGTTTATATTCTGAATTGCATGTTTCGATGGAATCTTCCGATAGTATCATGTTCAATTCTTCATAATTAGAGTTATGAATGTGTGATTTTATTGTATTCATCATCATAATAAGTATTGTCAATAATTTCCTGAACCACAGACCTATTGATAGTATCATTCTCATAGAGCTTAGTTACAAGAAGGGGACATTGCATTTCAGATTCTCTGATTATATCAACTTCGTAATGAGTTAAAATATCTGAATCTATTTGGCTCGTGTCAGTTACGTCATAATGTGTTGTTTCCATTTGGTTTATGGAAGATTAATTCTATCTTCTGCATACAGACACAGTATCTAGGTTGATAGAAACATCATTTTGTGGATCATAATAAACATTATAGTTTGCAAGATGTTTTTGTGAAGTTGAAGAAATATTGGGAGATTTGGAACAATAATTTATATGTCCACATTTATATGAATTTGAGAATCGATGATTTGTCATATGAATGATGAAAGTCTTCTTTCCAGAGAATTTATGAGAGCAAGCTTTACATTGCATTTCGAAATATTGTATCCAATATTTATGATAATGATAAGAGTATCAACATTTATTTTATGTTATGTTATCGTGAATCAATGTTGTTTTGACTGCTCTTCTACCTTCATTTTATTGACAACATCAAGGATACTGGGTATGTTGCCAAATTTGGTTTCTAGTTGATACATTGATAATTGGATGAACATCCAAGTGTGCTCTGATTCGAATGGATACACTCAATTCATAACATGTATCAGTTGAAAGCAAACATCTATCGCCTTCAGAACAGAAATGACCTTATAAATTGTTCTATCGAAACTAACATATACATTTTGGTTTCTGTGTAGATGGGGGATCCCAGAATAACATATGGTAACATGGGTGAGCCATACTTCTTCATATTAGCCCTCTATTCTTCTACGAAATTTTCCAGGTCACTAGGAATTAAAAAAAAATAGAGAGAATATGGAAAATTTCATGATTCTGATTCGAATCTTTTTTTATTAATCATCATTCAAGCACACATATCATTCATACAGGAAATAATCCCTCAATAGCAGATTCTGCGATCAAGAATAAGAAGAAAAATCACATAAACTAGGGTCGATAAATACTTCATACCGGAGGTACTGCACCCTAACAGGGAGTTCCTGTAGATGGTTTTCATTTATGATATCTCCTAAACTAGTTGGAGCAAAGTGATTGAATTCTGCACTTATTCAGAAGTTTTTATACCTAATAAAATGGGTTTAAAGTTATCTGAACAATTTGTCCAGGAGTAGGTTAACTTTGCGCATGCTTTTTTTCAATATTTCATGCGAAATCATTGAATTTAAGACTGTTTTACTAAAAAAGGTGCTCCTTATGAGCCTCAATAGCATGCACCTTTTTCTAGTGGAATCGTTTCGATTTCCTTTGCTCAGCCTGGCGTGCATTATAATTATCACACCATAGACATGTCTGCAAGCTCTCGATCTGTGAACTTCCTCATTTTATCTGACGAAAAGGTACTTTGTATGAAATTATAGCTCAACCAGCTATCAAATAAATTGTCAAAGTCACTATGATTTCAATTTTAGCATTCTTGTAACATATTGCGAAAAAATCAAAAAAATCTTACCCGAAAATAGTGCATGCTATGGAAGTTTATTAAGAGCACATTACATACAAGTATTGCATGATGGGGCAAAGAAAATCTTGAAAAATTTCAATAACAATATTATTCGAAAATACAGGCTGTTTCCAAAATTCCGGCTACAAATCAAATGGGGCGTTGAATAAGACATAATGATATGGTGAATCACATAAAAAAATAATTGTTTCTCAAGATTCGCGCTCACATAACACATATTTGAATATAATTGAACGCCTGGCAACATTGCAAGTCATTCATACTCCAGTGCCTCTGACCTCGCCGAAAGAAAACGCTGGGGTTCGAATATTAACCTCTGATCAATTATTCACAAATGTTTCATGAAGAAAACATTATTAGTATTGTGTTCCACTACAATTTGAACAAAAATGCATTCTTTTGAATCATTGATTGTAGGATGCCAGGTAGTTTTCGATTTTTTAATAAATGATTTCGTAGGCAACAAAAAAATAAAGATATTCAGCATCAAAAAGTTCTTGGATTCCAAAATAGTGAAATTGTGTAATCAAGGTTAAAAAAACTTTGAATGGAAATTTTCACTCATTGAAAACTAACTGAGAAAGGAATTCATGAAATGACATATCATTAAAAAATTCATATAAGTTATAGCATATTGCTATCATTAGACCTTCATGGAAAAGGACATATAGATCAGGTAGGTGAATGAATTTTGAGTGTTTGCATACCTCAGAACTAACATTCATCCATCACATCATTATGTTGATGATATTTTTTCAAAGGTCTGATGATAGGTATACAGCCAGAACTAGTAAGTACCTGACCTATCAAATTAGTGGAGTAGTGGTTGACCAACTTTGTATTTTATTCGTTAATTTATTTGTTAGAATAAATTGGGATACTTTGAGATGGAGTCCTATCACGAATTAAATTTGTCAGGTACTCAGAAGTTCATTCATCAATGATTCACGATATCCACAAATTTGAACATTCACTTTATGCTGATGAGTATGAAATCAATATCGTTCTGATGTTTCACCTTTATCCACATCAAGAGACTGAATTATATCCAGGATCAAATTATCTGCTGGTGTGGAATATTTCCTGCGCGTCTCCAGTAGGCTATTGAAAACAGGTTCAAACCTACTGAAAATGTTTTAATAGTTTTCAGGATATCTCGATTTGAAATCTGAATCTATGAGTGCGAATTCCAACGGATCTTTGATGACAGGAAATTCGTCGAGTATTTCTTCCCACTTCTTTAGACAAAAGGAATCGAAATGTGTTTGTCCATTCATCTTGAACCTCTGTCCATGGAGCGTGGTTATTTTTATTCAAAGTCTGTTTATTTATCTTGAATATAACTAGTTCAATTTGATTAATAAAATAATATATATTATAATTCACTGAGTAGTTATAAATAATGATAATAAAGTATACACACCATCCGTAAAATGACTTGAATCATCTGTATCATCAATCTCGTCGAATAATCATGTTGGCAATTAGCTTGCTCTCCTCAAAAAACTGAGTTCTTTTCTGTATTTATCGATGACCTTTCCTCTAGTAACAATACTTTCATTATTCCTGAAGTTTCTCTTTTTGATTAGTGCAGTATAATATACTTCAGGTAGTTCAGTAGGAAATAGTTTTGCAATGTCTTGGGAAATCCTATTGAAATCCAAATTTTTCAGCCTCCTAAAAGCATGCTGTTGAAGAACATTGAATTTGGGATTGACATAATTAACAAGACGGAGAGTCAAATTACAGCGCGAGAAATGGCCTACCTTGATTTTCGTTCTTTCCCAAGTTGTGTAGGTTTTTCCAGCTGGTCGGGGTTGCAACCACCAATCTCCTGCTTTCTGGGACTGTGGACTGTATTTCTGGGAGGATCTCACACACTAAATATTTTATTGAGAGAGGTTTTGGGTTTTGATTGAGTAGGTATTTTGCCGGGTTTTATATTTTTACACGACACACCGGTACCTTGTCCGAGCGTGGAGAGGTACTACTCTTTTTCGGCCGAAAACTGGCACACGTTCGGCCACTGCACAGAATTTGACTCTATTTCGCGGAATATGCGAGAATTGAGATACAAGGAAATTAAGGAGTCCCCACTTTCCATGTACTCAATTTAGTTTCTCTTTTGGATGTTGTTTTGAAACAAATTTTTTTCCAATTTAACAATATATTTCACTCCCAGATTTCTGGTTTAGCTATGGGTAGCAATTTGTCTCCATTATTATCCGAAATTT